GGCTGCGGCCTTGTCTCTCCCTGCGGGGGTCAGCGCAGCCGTGGGGCGGGAGTCCAGGCCGCAGGTGCGCTTCTTGGGGGGAGGGTAAGTCCTGGCCGGTAGGTACTTGCTGAAGGGAAGAACGGGGGTGCTAACCCTGCTTGGTGTCGCTTTCTCCAGCCATGGCATCTTCGGAGGCTTCCGAAACATCATTCTTCAGCCTGAGTGGCGTCAGAGAGCGCATGCGGGAGAAGAAAAAGGGTGCCTTGAGGACTGCGAAGTTGAATGCCTCGCTTGCATCAAAAATCAAAACGAAAATCATTAGTGAGTGCATTTTGCCTTGCAGTGTCTGCAGAGGTGGCAGCTGCATCAGCTTCTAACTGTGCCTTGGGCTGTGGCAGTGGTGGTGGGCGGCAGGCTCTTACCCAGAGATGCTTCTCTGCCTGTGGGTTTCTAGTGAATTCAGTACCCTGCAAATGAGTGTCTAGCACCAGCTGAGGTGCCCAAAGGTGTCTGAGGTATCTGTGATTGACAGGTTTAACACGAAACCTTTGGAGCAGCAGCTGGGGGCATGACAGGCTGCTTGGCATTTCAGATGGCATTAGACAGCTGTGTCTGGGTAACCAAGTCCTGAGGGTCCAAACAGCAAAAATAAGAGGTTTGGAAAGTATTTTAGTGTATATGCAATCCTATGCAGAAGCTAGGCCAACTGTGATTTGTTTTTAGGGGGGAAATAACGCAACACTAGTGCATCAGATAATTTGGACTACCTTGAAAAAGGTATTTCTGTTACTTTTATTTATTTGTTTTGAAATTGTGAAACATGGATCTACATCTGCTCAAGGGCTACTACAGAGGAAAGTAGGTCTTTATCTTCTTTTTGGCTGGAGATCAGGACTCAGAGCTGTAGGTGACTTGTTCAAACTCAAGAGCATGTCTTTTGTAAACTCAGCACCTGAACCACACCATCATTCATTAAGAAGTGAAGCAGTAGCTTGCTGACTGAGCACAACACACTGAGGATAGAGAGGGTGTCTGTCTGACGTGTTGCAGGTTATTATTGACAGTTTTTCCTGCTGTTCTCTGGAGACTTCTATTGCTGGGAGGAATTACACTGCTGACTTGGTATGTGGGCTATTGAGTTGTAGAGATCTGAGCCTGAGGGAGGCTATTCTGGGAAGAGGAAGAATTATGATGAGGGAACAGGCATGGATGAGACCTTGGATGCTGATTCTGTGTGATACTTCTCTATCCCTTACAGACAACTCCTCCACTATTAAAGTTTCCCTAAAGCACAACAATAAAGCACTGGCCCTGGCCCTCAATGCAGAGAAAGCCAATGCACAGCGGCTCACCCAGGAGAAGACCATCTTACAGACGGAGGTGGAGCAGTGCCATTTCCAGAACGCCGTGCTGCGGCATAAGCTCTCCTTCCTGGTATGGTACTAATGGTGTGGCTGGCAGGGGCGGTGGGCAGGGTATGCAGCACTAGCACCTCAACCTTGGGAGGAGTGAGCTGTCACTGATTGTCCGTACTCTGCATATGAAAAATGTCACCATTCATTTGCTTACTCTTTGTTCCAAGCTGTGTTCTCCCCAGAACATGCCTTGCTCTGGCTACCAGCATCCGTGTTGGAATACATGCTTTGATTTAATGTCTTCATGGTTTCTCTCTCTTTATTACTTCAACATAGAGTAAGACCTTGAAAGAACTTGAAAACGTTATGGCTGCAGTTAAGATGGCCCGGCTGTCTGAGGTAAACCATGGGAAATGTGAGCACACTGCTCTGGGAAGGGGGCTGTGTTTTTCTCTGTCTTTTGGTTTGTGTTGCCTGCTCACTTCAGTGTTTGATGCTTCAGCTGTTTTTCTTTGCTTGCTTGAATTGTGCGGGTTGTATCCTCCTTTTTAGCTTGGTGTTAACAATTTCCCAGATAACTTCTGTAGGAAAGGCTACAGTTTTAAACTGCCTTCCTCTGGGTCATTGGCTGTATTGGCCAGTAGGCTCTTCTGCTATGACAGGTTGGGACATCTTTTCAGTTTGGGATAGGGAATAGGACACTTTCCATATGTCCTGTCTGGTGGGTGGATGGTAAAATAATCCTGCTTCCTAGTCTCAGATTATCTGAACTAGTTTTAACTTCATCCTTAAACCTGTGGAGACAGAATCTGACTTTTCTGCAATTTATTCCATAATTTGTGCAATTTTAAATGGGAGAGGGTTACTGGTGGTATTTGACATACTTTTTACGGTGAAACTGAGCTTCTGCTGTTTCTGTGCAGGAGGCTGCACAGAGGGTTGCAGGAGCTTTAAACCACCTTTCTATTTCTCTGCTTTCCAGTTCCATACGAATTCTGCATCCTTGAGCAGCATGACTGAAGATAGCTGGACTGATGATATTGCAGATGGTCAGCTTGTGAGGTGGGCCTTAAAATGTCAGATATCACCAACCTTGTCCTGAATTTCAAACTTCCTCTTGTGTTTTATGTGTGTGCCTAGTTGTCTGTTTTACGTGAGATATCTTCTCTAAAGCACCACTGCTTGATGTTTTCCTTTACTCTGTGTCTTTCTGCTGCCACTCCTTATTTGTCCTAATGCCAAGTCTATGCATAAACTGGTCCTTCTTCCTCCGTTGTTTGAAAGCATGTCGTTCTTAGGTAGTTTCCTTTGTAGCTGGTGAGCGCTGCAAGATTTCCTCGAGTGAGTGAGTGCCATAGCTGGCTACTTTGATGTTTGTTACATGAATGCCTAATAGTCATCTGCTTGTGTTTTGGAAAGAAGGTCAGAGCAGGAGCTCTTAAAATATATTTAAAGTTCTGTTTCTCCTCTGTCTAGTCTCCCTTTTGAAGGCAGGGAAGCCCTGGGAGCTGCCCACACATGTACCTCCAAGCAAACGCATTGGTGTTCCACAGGGAGGTGAACCTGTGGTTGCAACCTGTGCACTGGAAGGCCTTACTTCCTCGTTGCCTCAATGTGTTCTTCTCCTGCTTCTGTGTCCGCAGCAGTGTGTTTTCCTTATGAATTGTGCTTGAACAAAAATGGGAACTCTGTCCTGGCTGGGCAGTGTATGTTCTTCAGTGCTTGGAGACTTCAGAAATGTATTTCAGCAACTCTTGATGGTGGTGAAAGCTGTAGCTATTCTGCTGGATTCTGGTGCCTGTTGCAGGTATGGAACGTGCTCCATTGTTGTTATTCCTTCTCACCAGGGCTGCAGGGATGCCAATGAGGGTGCCCATTTCCAAGCCACGTGATGCAGGACAGCAAGGTGGCCACTCCAGAGCAGTACAGACATCCTCGCTAGATTTTCAGAGACCTTCTTCTAACAAGCCCCTGGAAATTGTGCCTGTTGTCTCCAAAGACACTTTGCCACCACAGCCTGCTGAGAAGCCTCAGTCCCACCAGGGAGAGAATGAGAAGAAGCCAATTGAAGCAATGGAAGCACAAGAGGCTTTTCTTGACTCTCATGTTTTTGGAGGTAAATTTGCATCTTCCTCCGTGCTTCTGATATGCCTTTGTGTGTCTGTGTTCAGAAATGAATGAGTGCAGTGCCATAGCTCCTAACCATCACTCCAGCAGCTCCTAATGACTGTTAGGAACTGCAGCATTACAGTGGCACTGGTATCACTAGAATTACATATATTCCAGAATGGGATGCCTTGGAGGGGGATATTTGGCATGTTTGCAATAGCTCAAGATCACTCATCAGGTTTTCTGAGTAACAGTCACTAAGCTTAAATAATATTTTCAGACATGTCTGAAGGTGCAGAATCTGACTAGATGCACATCTTCCAATCCTTGTGGATTTGCCATATAAATAATAACTCTCATACAAATCATGAGCATTCCTGAATATTAGGGCTGGTAAAAGGATCTTGCTTTGGGCTGCCTTTCTGATCTGAGGGGAGCCAGCTGAGCAATTCTGTTACACAGTAAGTTTGGGGAATCCCTGTAGAGACAAAATCATGCTTTTTCTATGCTCTGGATTTGTGGCAGTGTGTGGGGCATGGCTTTTAGTGGTAGGGGGAAAACTGGCATTTGTCTGCTGCATTTCTCAGTCTTAGGAATGAATTTTCTCTTTCCAACAGAGGCCTTGTGTGCCACCCAACAAAATCCCAACAATTTTCCAGCGCTTGCCTGGGAAAGTCATCTTGTTTCACATGAGGACGATGAGATGGCAAAATATTTCTTTGATCGTGTCTCCCAGGGGCATGTTACTCACAGGAAAAAGAGTTCCACCCTGTTTGCAACAAGCACTCCGTCTTCTGGTGTGGGTATCTCCCCATCTGTCAGCTCCACTCGAGCAGCTTGGTGGAGTATCACAAAGGACAGCAGCAGCTCCAGCAAAAGCAACACACAGCCACAGCTGAGACCTCCCAGCTTCCTGGTTTCATCTACTCAAACCACTGTTATTCCTGTTAGAAAATCTTTGGGTGAAGAGACTTTCTGTGATCAGCCACAGGCTAAAGAAACTGGGTGTGATGTTGAAACAGAGCCCAGCTATAGCCAAGTCCCTGAGTTTGTTCCTATAAAGGTTAAAAGCAAAGGTAACCGTAAAACTGGTGAGAAGACAACTGTTAAAAAAGGAAGCACAGGAAAAAGGAACACAAATGCAGTTGAAAACAATGCAGAAAGTAGTCCTGATATACCTCGATATGATGAAAGCGCTCAAAATGTGAAGAAGCCTCTTCAGCCAAAAGTTGCAATGTGTTCTAGTGAGTCTGAAGTTTCCAAGATGAGGCAGAAGGCTTGTGTGGGGGCTTTCAACAGGAAGAACAGAGGCTGTGGTGTGGA